TATTTTTATAAATATTTGTACATGGGGCAAGATGGTAGGAATATACGGAGGGAGATCAAACGTGGGGTTCCGCAGGGCTCAGATACTGTGGAACCTCGCGTCCGATGCGGTTCTGCGTGTCGACCTTCCTGCTGGCGTAAATATCGTGTGCTATGCCGATGACACACTGGTGGTCACCAGCGGGGTCATCTTCGAGGGGACCAAAGAGCTCGCTGGGCTTGGGACAGAAGTCGTCGTCGCCAAAATCCACGAGTTGGGATTGGGATTGGGTTTAGAAATAGCGCCTCATAAGACCGAGGCCTTATGGTTTCACAAATTACCTCGGAGCAGGGAACCACCCGACTCGTGCGTCTACGTGGGTGGGTCTGTAGGAGAGTGGGGTGGTACATGAAGTACCTAGGGCTCCACCTGGACAATTGCTGGGGCTTCGGAGAGCACTTTGAGCGCCTAGTCCCCCGGATTGATAGGGTGGCGGGTGCTATGCACATACTGCTGCCCAATCTAGGGACACCGAGGGAGGAAATACGCCGCATCTATGCGGGTGTAGTACGGTCTGTAGCCTTATACGGGGCACCTGTGTGGGCGAAAAGGCTAGCCATCCGGTGCTGTAGATCTAAAACCTACAGTGTCCAGCGGAGGATGGCTATACGGATCGTGCGGGGATTGAGGCGGAAACAGTCCTGGCTCGCTTCCCACCCCTAGATATACTGGCGGATATGGATGCGAAGGTGTAGAACCGAATCCGCATCCTCCGTCAGAGAGGTGGCAGTGAGCCAGATGAGGCGCTCGAGTCTATAAAACGGCAGAAGCGACAGAACGCTTTAGCGATGTGGCGCACTCAAATCAACTAGGAGCGCTATGCCCGCAAACGTGTTATTGGCGCAATCCTGCCGGTCTTCGAAGCTTGGATGCAGCGACGAGTAGGAAGACTCACCTACAGACTTACGCAGATAATTACCGGGCACGGGTGCTTCGGTGATTATCTGTGTAAGATCGAATGCGAAGCGACTCCCCTCCTCGCGTCCCATACGCTGGCGGTATGTCCAGCGTGGGAACGGGAGCGAATAATACTGGCAAACCGGGTCGGTTGGAACCTCTCACTGCGAGCAGTCGTGTCGGCGATGTTGAGCGGGGACTCAGCGTGGATGGCCGAAGCCACCTTCTGTGAGTTCGCAATGGTCCAGAAGGAGGCTGCGGAGCGGCATCGCAGGATGACAGATCCCACTTGGAGACGACGCCATCTAGGCGTTCGTCACGGCCCTCCCTTTGAAGATGTTGTTCCCCTACCAGAAACGGGGCCTCTGGGGTTACAGGCGTTTGGAGCGGGGGCCTCGAATGCCTCGTAACGTAACCCCCAAGGAGGACGATGGCTCAGAAGTGGTCCCGAGACATCGTGATAGCACTGCGAGGGTGCTGGGGGTAGTAAGTTCTGCCCCTGGGACGTGCTTCAAATAAAGCAAAGCGAGAGATGGGCCCCGGTTGCGTTCCGACCGGAGATCCCGGGACCCCCCGTACACGCCGATGGAGACCACCGTGAGGTTTCAGCCGGTAGGAGTCTGGCATAACTTACCGGTTGCTCTATGAGGATTTCCCCACGAAAAAAAAAGGTGTCTTCAAGGCAAGAGTGAATATGCTTATGTTAAGTCAGTGCGCTTCACCATCTTAGGCTACATCACCACTTATATAGTCAGGTGGGATTGTAGTTAAGCACTGGCTTAAAATAATATAAAAAAAAATTATATCAAAATTTTTTTCAAAAACTAATCACCAAAAACATAATTGTAAAAAGGGGTCCTAGTGCGGGACAAAAATTTGAAGGTATCGCCTACGCCGATACAAAAGTACAGATTTGAAAAGGTTCCAAGCTCCAAAGCAGTTCAACGACGGTGTACATTCCATCTTGTCACCTTTTACAATACCCGCGGGATGATACGGTGTAGTTGTAGTGGATATTTTTACTCTACCATGACAGGGTCGAGGAGGAGATCATCAGAGTTTATCGTCAACATTTAATTATTTTACCTTAAATAAAAAAAAGAAAACAATAAAGCGTAAACTCAAAGAAAATCTTCAAAGGTCGCTTATTTATTTAGAGTTATAAAAGGATAAAAATTAAAGATATCTCTTCAAAAACAAAAGTGCCCCCTTTCCATATTTGTGTTTTGGTGGGATTACTTAATCTCAATTGGTTTAGTTTTGTCCGTGGTCAAGCTACTCTACAGCACGAATATAATATAAATAATGACTTCAGCTCGATGGTTTGGCTCGTCCAAGGAAGGACCACGCTCTCATAGAAAACCATCGTAAATAGCCGCACAATGCTGCAGTGTTTCTGTGATTTTATTGTGTGCTCGTTTGTCGTAGGCTAATTATTATTAAAAAAAGTGTCTGAGATAGATTTTAACCCTCGGGAATATATAAGATGCCTCATAACCTGTTATTTTACTGTATTTCTATACCCATTCAGACCGGAACACAGAAATACACACTTGCTGCTTGGCGGTATCATCATCATCATCATCATTATTATTACAGAACTTCACAATTCCACTGCTGAACATAGGCTTCCCCAAGGAATTCTAAAAATCACGGTCCTAAGCGATCTGCATCATTGACTTCAAGCGATATGCTTGAAGTTATCAGGTCATCACTCCATCTAGTTGGGGCCACCCTATACTTCACCTACCTGTACGAGCCTGCCACTTGAGATCCTCTTCTCCTATGGCTCATTGCCTCTTCAGATTACTAATCCGTTGGGCTATATCGGTTACTGTGATTCTACTGCGGATATCCTCATTTTTAAGTCTATCACGCAGAGAAATTGTTTAACACCGTCGATTTTTCCGGACCGATACCACGTAGGAACTTTCAAGAAAAGAGCTTACTGCTTTTTAAAAGGCCGGCAACCTGAAATTTCCCTGTTGGGGTTGTTCATGGGCGCCGGGAGTCACTTACTATCAGGTGAACCGCATGCTGGTGACCCCTCCGCTATAAAAAAGGGGATACCTCGACCATAGCTCGCTTAGCGACTTTATTTGATTTATACAGCTATAATCAGTGCCTACAAGGTAATTTTTGAGGTTATTTCAAATATCTCATGCCCAACATTTTAAAGCCTAGTTTTTACTTACATCCTATCATCATTTTTTTTTAATTTTATTCGTATAAAGTTTTACTGCCAATTGAGAGTAAAGTGCGCTTAAATTAAAGTTTTTTAAATCACTTGTAGTAGAAGCTACGTCCTAGGGCCTCAAAAAGAGAGTATGATGCTGAACTGAATTTCGAATATTTGACGTAAGAAATTAATATGTCCAATCCGCCAGTCAGGCACATTGTTCATCACAGCATGCAGGCGAGGTTGAAATTTGTAGCAAATTATTAAAGTTCTTATATGTCAACGTACTAACTGTACCCCATGTCAACATACTACATACATGACAACATAAAAAAAAGTTAAAGTAGTAGTTAAGTAATATTTACTGTAGAAATACCAAGGACTGCAAGTTATTGATTATAAATTGACTGAAAACCCTGTCTTACGAAAGCACAGAAAAACTTTTTATTTACACACACACACACACACACGCGCGCGCGCGCACACACACACACACACACACACACACACACACACACACACGCATGCACGCACGCACGCACGCACACACGAATTCACGAACGCACGCACACACACGCATACACACGCACACGCACGCACACGCACATGTACACACACGCATGCACACACACACGCGCACACGCACACACACACACACGCACACACACACACACACGCACACTCACACACATTTTTGATTAATTTGTGTTGCGTTTCTTGAAAGTTTTGTATGGCTGTGGAACAGCGGGAGTCTCTGACATAAGCGCCTTAAGATGCTTAAAAGACGCTCCTCCCTACCTTATGCAAATTGTTAAATGCTTGATGAAATAAAAGAGATTATTATAAAAAGATATGATTGTACTATCTGGTCAAACTCTCAATACCATCAACATCGTTTTATTTAGATCATGTGAATGGTATCGAGAGTCACTATCGATATTACGATGAGACGTTATAAAGTGTACAACCTTTGTTATAGAAGGATAGTTATTAAGGAATAGTTTTGAATAATTATAGCCGCCAAATTCCACCCTCGCACATCGTAACAAAATTCGAGATACCTTCGATACCATCTGGATGCTTGGCGGTACACCACTGTGCAATTTTTCAGAAGTTTATTCCATGCACGATTACTTTTTGGAATCAACTATCACTAGCGATTTTTTGGACTGAAACAATTTATTTATTTTCAAAAGCAAAAGTGAATCGGCTTTTGTTACAGCTTAAACATTGCGACTTATCATCTAAGGCTTCATCACCTTTTACCACCAGGTGGGATAATTAAATAAATAAAAATGGTCCGCGATGCGCCTTAAATTCCTCTCCTGTTACAGTTAGTTATTCAAGGTCAGCAGTAATCAATTACTACCATGTGAGCCGCATGTTATGTGGTAGAGTGATGCTACAGTTATAATGTTGTAGCACAAATGGGTCGGCTTAGAATACCAGCGTAACATTAAATGATTACAAATTAATGCTGCTGTGTTTCCTATGGTGAGTGTAGAGCACCGGATAGCATTTTTACTATCTTAGTACGCAGGGGTGACAACGCATCTACATTTTGATTCCTAACCAAGCATAGATGTAGGTGTCTATGGGCTTCAGTATCCACTTACTATCAGGTGGACTGTGTTTGTTTATCACCCTTATTCTATAAAATGTTCGTTTGCCTTCGCTTCGCTTTAAATATTAGCCAAAAAAATAATCTATCAATGCCATATCGAACGCAGACATTTTGTATACTATGTCTAGTCAATAAAGCCTAATCATACGGATCGATGAATTATTTTTCGTTATCTTAAATAAATTTATATGATCCCTACTGAATGCGCACTACTCCAATTTAGTTCCAATTAAAAAGTCGACTAGTCAAGTCGAGTAAAAGATGACAATTACGCATAATTCACCTAGAACGAGTAAGGTGGAAGATGGGAAGACGCCTGTGCATAAAGTAGATTTGGATACAATCTTAGTGCAGGAGATTGGACAATTCGGTTGGTACCAGTTCAGAACATGGCTGCTATCTGTCGTCGTGGTTATATTCGCTGCCTGGGCCAGCAGTGAATACGTGTTTACTACGGCCCGGTTTTTTTTTTAAATTTCGGTGAATAATTTTATGTAAACATTACACTTTATTAACGTGAGTCACACAATTACGTTTCAAACATAATAATTTTTCTTTCGACAAATTTTGAATTGTAGTCTTCATTTCTATAGTCTTTGTAACGGGTAAGAAGTTTTTGTAACGGGTCCGATTTTCAAAGAATAGAATAGAATAGAATAGAATAATGTTTTATTCAATATAGATCACGTGTGTAATTCTTATTGAAAGTTTCCGAAATTTCATAGTCAAAAGAAAACAATTCACAATGTACAAGAAACAAAGTTCTTATTGACCTCCTTAAATCCATTTATTTCTTTATTATAAAAATGTCGACCTTATAAATATCACCAAGTAGTAAGAACGAAGAATCCTACCAAAAACACAAATGTGGAAACGAATCATTTATGTTTTTGTGAGATATAATTTAAAAAAAATCTTATATCATTTTATAAATCTAAATAAACAAAAAAATATTTTGCATTTATAACTCAATGTTTTCTTCTTTTTCTATTTAAGCAATAAGAATTAAATGTCCACAGAATTTAAAGGTTATAACTGGTTGTATCGAATCACACTAACGTCTGTTTTTGATATTCTTATTGCATTAAAAAAAAACATTAATCACTTGAGCCAGATAGAAACTACAGTAATACTACAAACAGTTTAATTATTTCGCCAAAATCAATGCACCAAATGAGTTTAATTTTACTTTTACAGATGCTTGATTCCTGAATGCGAAGGCAACGAAGACAGTGTAGAGTTTGCACCACCTTGGATATTGAATGCCGTTCCTGGTACAAGTACCAGTTCATTCGACGGCTGCCAACGGTACGCTAATGTTTCTGCCAGAGTTTTCCAAAATACTTGCCCTGCAAACCTATTCAATAGAGACAGGGTTGTTGATTGCGACGAATTTGTGTATCAGAATACAGATACTGTCGTTTATGATGTAAGTTTACCCTGTCTTTTCTGACTACGCCTAATTGGTTTTGGGAAAAATGCAATACTATACCTACTGTTTTTTAATCTTAATGTATGTCTAGTTTATGTATTATAATTTAAAAAAAATATCGAGACATATGCTTTATTGATTTTGCTTTGTAATTCCTTTTGTTAAGTTTGATTCTTATCATTTATTTTATTGGTTTTAAACGTATATCAATATTTATATTATTATTAGTACTTATCGTTATAGATAAAGTATTAATAATAAGTCTGTGTTCTATCTGTTGCCCGCGAATTCCGAGTGGGTTTTTCAAGTAAACTGCTAATGATAGGCCTTCCCAAAGAAATGACACAAAGATTAGATTATGTTATTGTCTTAATATATAAAAATCCCATGTCAGAATTTTCTTTCACGCTAACTTCTAAAACCACTCAACCAATTTTAATGAAATTTTGTAAATGTGTATGTATTGTTTGCTCCAACTTGAGAGATGGGATATTTTTTATCCCAATAAGTGACCCTAAATATTTTTTATTGAGGATTTGAGGATTATTTATAGGACAAAGGGCCATCGGAAAGGGCAGAACAACGTCTGCCTGGCCAATTAGTAAATTAAAAGAATCGGTAAATGCTAAAACTTTACTCTTTTTTTATCTGGTTTTGAAGAATCAATTCCTAAGCATAAAGGGATTTTTTTTTTATTTATTTATTTGATTCACCAACAAATGTTACACTGATACATATGCTTAATTCTAAGACAGTAATATAAACTAAGTGCACATTCAATAATAGGTAAACACCGCATGCTTAGTGTTCACAGCATTTCCTACAAGCCGTTAACAAATAGCTAAAAATATACGATACAAACTTAAAATAAAAATAAAACAAAATTATTAAATTAATATATACATAATTTATATTATGTATACTGTTTAGGCCCAAACATGGTAATTTTGAAACGCCATCCAATAGCGTTGACTCGGCACATCGCCCGATGGTGTGAGGTGAGGTAAACGCCGCCGGGGGGGGGGGGGGGAGCATGTGCCGCTGGCAGTCGCTCGACGCGCGGAGCAGCGGCACGGTCGATGAACGTAACGTATTTTGTAGTGACCGCTGCAGCGGTTATATAGTGATTGCGTGTTGAAGTGCTTTTGCAATATTTAACTTGCTTGTGTGACGTGGAATCTTGCGCGCGCGCCGAGTAGAGATACGGTCTGGAATTTAAATCTCGCATTCCATTTCGAGGGCGTGGCCCGGTTGATTGTTTTTGGAAGTCATTGTTTAATTGTACCGTCGCGTTAAGAGCCTTTTGTGAATTCTTATTGCGGCGTAGTATTTAATATCTATTTATTTATTATTTATTTACTAACTCACAATTGTTATTACAGGAGTTGAGCCTAATGCAACAATGTGGCCACTAATGTAAAAAAGCCAAATAGTTTAATGTCACCCTCTCGAATTCCGCCAATGTACAATTAAATATGTCTAATCGTTGTGCTACGATGTTAAGCATTCTAGCTGCACGAACAACCGGTGCGTACTTTAAGATATTTTTACGAGCAACTGGTACGTCCAGCAACCCTCCCTTCAGCCCCCGTCGCAGCCTAGAATTAGGTACGAGGAACCGCAGTGATTCCAGAATTTCCGGATTGTTTAAGCTACCACGTAATATCAAGTATATGTACTTAAGAAGCGCAAAGTTCCGTCTAACCTCCAGCTTATAATATCCAACCATTCCTATTACAAAAAGGGTTGCATACATAAAAGGATAAAAAGGGTACACCCCGTTTTGCTTTAAATAGAGGTACCGCGTAAACTTATTCTGTATTTTCTCCAGCATGAGGTTATACATTGCTTCATAAGGACTCCAGATGATAGCACTGGTTTCTAGATTGCTTCTTACTAAAGCATTATATAATGACTTCACGGCGGCAGTGTTGAGGAAGACATGCGTTTCACGCATTATGAAGCCCAGGTTTTTAAAGGACTTTTTACACACCTGTACAATATGAGTACGAAATGTCACGTCCTCGGTAAATAAGACGCCAAGATCACGTATACAGACAACGCGATTGATGACATCCCCTTCCATGAGGTAAAAAAATGTGAAAGACATCACATTGTATTTTGATATATTAAACAGCAATTTATTCTCCCGACCCCACTCCACCACCCGATCAATATCACATTGTAAGCGGTTGCAGTCCTCGTCGGAAGTAATCCTCAGGAATAATTTGAGATCATCCGCAAAGAGTAAGCAACCCGCGTCTCTCACAACCTCTGGAAGGTCATTTATCATAATGATAAATTCTAACGGACCCAAATTACTCCCTTGACCGACTCCTGTAAGGGTTAGATACGAGTTTGAGGTGAAGCCAGCGTAGTCCACGAATTGCCTTCGGTTCCCTAAATAACTAGAAAAGAACTGCAAAAGGTCTGGAGTGAAACCAGCCATTGCGAATTTCCTCAACAAGACGTCATTGTCCACACTATCGAAAGCGTTCCTATAGTCGAAATAGGCCACATCCAGCTGGGTACCGGCCTCTGAATCGAGAGCTGGTGCTAAGTGATTCATGAAGCACATCAAGTTGGAATTTGTGCTGCGACCCGTCCGAAAACCATGCTGTGCATCATTAAATTGTACATTAACCTGCAAGTAAATGCAGGAACACAATGCTGACTCGAAGACCTTCGCGAACGCTGACAGCACCGCTATAGGTCTGTATCCACTAGCATCTGAGCTCAGAGCACCCTTCGGGACCGGAGTTACCCTAGTCAGCTTCAACCGTCAGGATACGAGCGATTACGCAAACGAACAAATGTAGAAGAGGGCGAGCTAGTACCATCCTACAGTCCTTTACAATATAGGGGGGGACACCGTCTGGACCTACTGATCGTTTGGGTTTAAGTTCGTACGAAGGAATTTAGTTGTTGTTTGTTACGCTGAACCTTGTGACTCGTGAAGAGATCGCGTTAGTTCCCTATTTGTAATTTGGTGATAAATGAATCCGGAACAGTGAATATTAAACTTTGAACTACTGTTCGTTACTTATCTCAGGTATCACGTGTTTTATTTTACGATGAACGTTGAATTAGTTGAGTTGAAGTTAGTTAAATGTACAATAAAGTTAATAAACTGAAACAGTGACATGAAGAAAGAAGTTGTCACTTGGTGACGCCTGCTGGAGTGATGCAGCATTGTGGGGCAGCATGGGACCAGGCCGCTGCCCGGTCACCTCAGCTGGGTCAGGTCACATAAATAAACACTACTACACACCACTTTACATGCACCTACACCTACCTACGGCTCGACCGAGCCTTGGGGCGGTCTGAGCTTCGGATCCAGGTACGTACGATTTATTTACCTAGCCTTATCTCTATTGTGTAGTATGATAGGTCAATTGTCCATAGACATTTTGAGTCCCACCCTTAGTTGTCCGTCGAATCTACCGCTGATGGGCCCCGGGATATTTGACCTTTGTCGAGGCAAAACCTACACGCGGATGCGTACGTAAATTCTCACACCGTGTGCTGTGGGTAGCTTATAAATTACAAAATGTTCAAAAATGAACTTAAAATAAGCGAAATATAATTTCAACTTTTTTAACATTTAAAGTGTTCTCATGACTTATGATTAACAGTATGGCTTAGCGTGTGACGAATGGCGGCGTTCATTAATCGGCTCAGTAAGGACCATCGGTGTTCTGACAGCGCTACCCATCACCGGTTTTGTGTCGGACCGATGGGGACGGCGCGTGGCGCTCACTATCAACGCAGTCAATACCGCCTGGCTTGGCACTGTTCGCTATTGGGCTGATACTTACATTGGCTTCCTCATTTCCGAAGTGGCTGAAGCCACGTTTGGATCTGGTGGCTTTACTTGCGCGTATATCTTAGGTGAGTATTTTCTCTCTTTCACCATCACCTGGTATGTGTAGGAGATATGGCGATAGTGCCAAAATTCGTGATGGCTAAATCTCCTCGCTGTCACTTCTTGGGTATTTTATTTTATGAGATTGGTGTTACTACCAGAAAATGATTAGACCTTTTCACCCATTTATTCAACTCGTCACGAAACGAGTGACACAGTTAAACATTTTAGCTGTCATCGTATAGCAAATATGTATTAGCTTTCATCATCATCGTTACATCTCTTCACAAGTCCACTGCTGAACATAGGCCTCCCCCAAGAAATACCCCAAAGCAAGGTCCTGCACAACTTGCATCCATAGACTTCCTACATATCTTACCAGGCCGTCACTCCATCTATTGGGGGGCTCCCCAATAATTCACTAAACGATATAATATTGCAACTCGGTAACCTTTCTTCCCCATCGGTTTTCGGTTTTTCGAGCTATATGGCTGGCTCATTGCCACTTCAGCTTACTAATCAGTTTTTTATAGAGTACTAGCTATTCCATGCGATATCGTCAGCATTAAATTTATTACTTAATTTTTTGCGTGGAATCCTAATTCTTTTTCGTAATTAAAAATTAAGTTAACTCTAAGCTCTAAAAACATAAGTTACCCCTTATAACATCAGCTATCTGCCAGTGAAAGTCCCGTTAAAATCGGTTTAGCCAAAAAATTGTGTTTTAGTGATAATTACCGTTTATACCTTTATATGCACTTAATACAAAGCTGTTATTTTCATATCACAAACAGACACTTCAATTTTATGTCTTCTAGTGAATGTGTCGTTAAAATCGGTCCATCCATTTCAGAGATTAGCCTGAACAAACAGACAGACAGAGTGTTTTGTACCAAACGGTACTTATGACAAAAACACAATTTTTAAAAAAATTCTCTGTCTGAATCATCATCATCATCATCATTACAGCCTTTCATAAGTCCACTGCTGAATATAGGCTGAAGGAAGGAATCCCCCAAGGAATACCAAAAAGTACGGTCCTGAGCCAACTGCATCCATCGACTTCCTGCATGTCTTACCAGGTCGTCACTCCATCTCGTGGGGGGTCACCCTAAACTTCACCTACCGGTACGAGGCTGCCACTCGAGAACCTTTCTTCCCTATCGGTCGTCGGTTCTTCGAGCTATATGGCCGGCCCACTGCCATTTCAGCTTACTAATCCGTTGGGCTATGTCGGTTACTCTGGTTCTACTGCGGATATCCTCATTCCTAAGTTTATCACGCAGAGAAACTCCGAGCATAGCCCTCTCCATAGCTCGCTGAGCGACCTTGAGCTTTCTCATACGGCCAACAGTGAATGACCACGTCTCAGATTCGTAAGTCATCACTGGCAACACGCACAGGTTGCACAATTTCGTTTTAAGGTTTTGAGGTATGTCTAACGAGAAGATGTGTGTAGTTTCCCAAACGCTGCCTAGCCGAGTCGATTGGCCTCTCGGTCGAAGTTAGACTTACCTAGTCGGACTATTTGTCCCAGGTAAACATACTCGTCAACAACTTCGAGCTTAGTGCTCCCAACAACTACCGGCATAGGTGTGACATGGACGTTAAACATGATTTTTGTTTTGTCCATGTTCATCTTAAGACCTATCCGTTGGGAGACACTATTGAGGTCATTGAGCATAGTGCTTAGGTCCTCTAGTGATTCTACCATAATGACTATATCGTCGGCAAATCGAAGGTGAGTGATGTACTCGCCATTGATGTTAATATCGCATCCTTTCCAGTCCAGCAGCTTGAAGACGTCTTCAAATGCAGCGGTGTAGAGTTTTGGGGATATAAGGTCACCCTGTTTTACAACTCTTTGCAGTTGGATAGGTTTCGTACTCTGATTCTGTACTTTGATAGTCATCGTAGCTCTATTGTAAAAACACTTCAGCACTTCGATATACCGACAGTCAATTTGGCACCGTTGGCGGAATCAAAGGCTTTCTCATAGTCAACATACGCAAGGCAAAGTGGCAGATTATACTCCTCTGTCTTCTATACAATTTGCCGAAGGGTGTGTACGTGGTCTATGGTACTAATGCCTTTTCGGAAACTGGCTTGTTTGGGAGGCTGGAAGTCGTCAAGTCTGCGCGCGAGACGATTCGTAATGACTCTCGAAAACAGCACGTAGACGCGGCTCAGAAGGGAAATCAGTCCGTAGTTCTTCAAGAAAGCGTTGTCGCCTTTCTTGAAGAACAAGACCACCGCACTACTGCTCCACGCCTCCGGAGAAGTGCCATCATGGAGGACGGAATTAGAGAGCTTCTGAAGAACTTCAAGTACCTGTTTTCCACCCGCTTTCAAAAGCTCCGCTGTAGTTCAATGCTCGCCCGGGGACTTTCCATTTTAAAGGTACTGGAGAGCCATTCTAATCTCGCTCAGACTGACGTCCGGGATATCTTCGGAATAGTGTCAGATAAGACTCGCTCTTGGATCGTTACTCACACTTGCGTGTGGCTCCAACGACGACGTGTACAGCTGCCCATAGAAACTCTCAATCTCATTCAAAATCTCAGATGTCCCGGAAAAGATGCTGCCACACTCGGTCTTCAGCTTTGACAGTTGGCTCTTTCTGGCAGACATATCTATGGCAAAGACTTTGGAGCCTTGGTTCCGCTCGATCGCTTCTTCAATACAAGCTGCATTGAAGTTGCGTAAGTCCCGCCGCATGCATTTGGAGATCTGTCTGTTCAGTTGCCTGTATGCTGTCAAATCTGTTGAAGAATGTAGCTTCATCTCCCGTCTAACAGCCACGAGATTGAGAGTGTGATCGGAGAGTTTTAGTGTTCTTCTGCGGCGGGTCTTGCAGAATTTAACTCCGATCGCATTGACAGTTATCTTTTCAATTTACATTATGTATTCGCACATTTGCACCCATTCACACAATGCTACTTACGTTGCTATTGTAATAATATCCAATTCATAAGTGAGCGGACCGCAGTATACGTCATATTGTCTTATGACCTTTAATGGTGATCGGAGACTTTTTGTGTTCTTCTGCGGCGGGTTTTGCAGAACTTAGCTCCGACCGCATGGACAGTTTCCACAAGCTTGTCATTCATATCGTCCACTTCATTAAGCACTGAAAACGGTTTTGTAACTCGAGGTGAAAGGTTTCGGGACTTTGGAACAGAGCACGAGAGGGACGGAGCGTTGAATTAATTAGACGAGACCTCTGCAACTTAACGTTTAGGTTCAGTATGCCTCTAACCATTCGGTGATCGCTACGAGTTTTCACCCTCGCGATCACGGAGACATCAATGAACAGTTGTTGTCTGGTCGTCATAATGAAGTCAATCTCATTTTTGTCGAACCGTCGGGGCTCGACCAGGTCCCACTTTCTGTGGGGCCGCTTCTGGAAAAAAGAGTTCGTCATAAAGAGTCCCTCTTTCTCCATGAAGTCGGCCAGCTGCTGGCCCCTTGGATTCCGTTGCCCTATTCTAAATTTCCCTACTTTTAGCTCACTATTCTCGCTTGTGCCTAGTTTTGCATTGAAGTCTCCCATTAACACCGTATAGTGGATTTTGGAGGAATGCATGCCTCTAGAGATATCCTCATACATTTCTTCACCTCCTCATCGGGGTGTGCCGAGGTTGGTGCGTAAACCTGTATGACCTTCAGCGAATACCGTTGTGTGATTCTGAGTATAAGGTACGCAACCCTCGTCGACACACTCTCAATCTTTACAACGTTGTTAACGAGAGACTTGTGGACGATAAATCCGACACCTCCTTGCGACAGATGGTCGCCCTCCCTGTCTGTCTGTCTGAATAACATGCTAATTTCTGAAATGGCTGGAACGATTTTTTATATGCATTTAGTAAAAAGTTCTAATTTTGACATTGCAAATAAACCCATTTTATTTATTTGTATAGATTAGTTATTAGTATACGTTATTGTATCTGTGTATTAGCGTTACAATTAAAAACTATTGGAAATATTATGGACAAAACAAATGGAATAAAAATTTAAGCCTTAAGTAAAATAGCCGGATCCACGCGGCAGTTTTTGCTGTTGCACGTATGGGCCCGCTCGAGCCGGGTTGGTACCACGATCTTACAGAATACCGGCGTGAAGTAGAAGCTCTATTTTGTTAAATTTTCGTAATAAAATGATGTCAAGTTTACTCACATAACCAACTGCAAAGTTTTTAAATTGGTTATTTTCTACCAACTTCAAAAAGGAGCCGGTATTCGATTCGACTGTATGTTTATTTTTTTATGTTTGTTACCTTATAACTTTTTTCTGGGTGAACCGATTTTGATGATTCTTTTTTATTTGAAAGCTGGTGCTTCTCATGTAGTCCTGTATAAATGTGATCAAGGTCTGACCAATAGTTTTTGAGTTGTTCTTAATAATTTATATTCAAGTCAGTTGTACAAAATTTTTATTTAATTGGAAAAGGGATCTCTTGCAAATAGTTTGGGAATCTAGTATATAAGAACCATAAAATCGTCAAATTTACGTTGTGTACTTTGAAGAAAAGGTGGCTTATCCGTAACCAGTTCGGCTCATTGAGGTCAATTTACAATTTAATATACTATCAAACAGAAGAATATTTAAGCTTATTTTTTTTCCAGTGATGGAACTCGTTGGACCAAAATTTCGGGTAGCTGCCGGTGCCTCTATGAACACTTTCTTTTCCATCGGTCAAATACTAATGGGTCTGATTGCATGGGGTGTGCCCAACTGGAGGAATTTCACGCTTGCACTCTACGTTCCGCAATTTCTTACCATTTCCTATTTTTGGATTATTTCGGAATCCGTGCGCTGGTATATGAGTAAAGGCAGATACGAGCAGTCCGAAGCAATACTTAAAGAAGTTGCTCAGGTAAATAAGAAAGAGTTATCTGAGAAATCGTTGGTGGCGTTGAGAAGAACCGCTGAAGAGGAGAAAATACGCCAAGCCACAGAAAAAGCAGCCAAAGGTAATGAGCCCTGGTTGATCGTGCTTGTGTTCCGCCATAAAAAGATTTTAACGCGTTGCCTCGTGTCACCAGTGTGGTGGATCACGACAACTTTTATTTTTTACGGAATGTCAATTAACTCTGTAAACATGTCCGGAAACCGGTACTTGAACTATATTGCGGTATCAGCGGCGGATATCCCTGGGTACTGGACTGCAGTGCTACTGATGGGGAGGATTGGGAGAAAGCCCGTACTCTTTGGAGCTTTCTGGGCCTGTGCCGCGTGTCAGATTGGATATATTTTCATGCCAGAAAGTAAGCTTTAATGAATTTGACTTTTTACTAATCATCATTTGCGATTTGGTTTGACAAAATTGTTTCACTTATATTTTTATTTCATCACTATAAAACTGACATTTTCGCTTACAGTATCGTAATTAACGAATGAATTTTAACGTTGTTAAAAATAGATGATTTTTGTCGATAATTCGAAGTAAAAGTCAAGAGTATTATACTTTGTCAAACTAAGTCATAAGAGCTTCAAAATACTGCTATACAATAGAAGCTGACAGCTTTTGTATAAATCTAAGTATCGCGTTTTACTTTAAATAAGCATTGATATAAGTTGGTATTTATAATTTAATAGAATTATGACTTGTGTTGCGGTTTATGTATCGTTACTAGCTGACCAAGCAGACGTTGTTCTGCCCTTTTCGACGACCATTCATATAAAAAATCCTTAAATTCGTTATAAAAAATAATTGAGCGTCACTTATCAGGGATAAAAACTACCCTGTCTCTCAAGTTGGACCAAACTGCACACAGTGTGCAAATTTCATTGAAATCAGTACAGTAGTTTAGGAGTTCATCGCGGACAAACAACGTGACACGTAATTTTTATATATAAAGATAAATCTGACCTAAGATATTTCTAAAAATGCTCGACTAATACTTTTCTTTTTCATAACTGCCTTTTGACATTTTGATTCTTAATCGAGGAAAAAATATAGGCCCTAGTCTTATATATATATATATATATATATATATATATATATATATATATATATATATATAGATATATATCGATATGTATGTATGTTTCCTCAAAGGAATTTTCCCTCACTGTAAGTTCATATACCACGATTAAGAATTGTCTCGTACTAAGAAAACAACACGATGATTTTACATTTAATAATCTAAATCCGATAGTCATTATCTTAATATTAATATAAACGAACACTTATCCGAAATTATTTACGTGTAAATTCGGACATGATAACATTATAATGTTTTCTAGTAATGCTGGAATCTCGCCTTGAATTAAAAATGTTATATTTTATTAAATACTGAAGGGACTAATGAACTTACTCACCTCATGTTACTTCAAACAAAGAAGGTCACAGATGCGTAGTAACCTCTGATGACTAAGTTGAAATGTCCCACAGTCTGTACTTATAAGTGAATAGAAAATTCCCTTCACACCGAATCACAGCTGTGCAAACACTGTTATTTACTTACCTAAATGGACTCCTTGGCAGAATATAATAATTAATTAAACAATCCACTTCCACCATCGAACAACCAGACGGTCGGCGGGTCTTCACCCCTTTGTTGTCGATATTCCACGCATTGGAACCAAACGGTTTGCTTCGTCTTTTGTAATGCGTACAGCAAAGGAGTGGAATAATTTGCCGGCGTCTATCTTTCCGTCTGAATACAATCTGGGCGTCTTCAAGGCAAGAGTGAATAGGCTCTTGTTACGATAATACAGTACGATTTACCATCTAAGGCTGCATCACTACTTACCACTAGGTGGGATTGTGGTCAAGCACTGGCTTATAATAAGTAAAAAAAAATCTCAGTCATTATTCTTGATTTGATTGCATTCGTAATATAATTACGTTGCAGCGTATTATGACTGTAACATTTGGCTGCGGCACAAATGGATCAATTCGACCAAGAAAAAAACTCACCCGTACAGAAAACTATGTAATTCTTATGCAGTATAATGCTGGTGTGTTTAGTATGGTGAATGACGAGAAGTTGAGGCGATTTTTACTGATAATGAAGCATTACATCCACAGGGGTGACAATTTTTTTTGTTACCTCCACACTAGGATTTTCTCCTGTAGCGTGGGGGCAATTTACATACATAAATTTCACAAGAACGAACCGAACGAAGAGCTGGAACAATTATTTGTAGGTAATACAAATACTCGTTCCGTGCGGTATTCGAATCCGCGGCCCTCAGAGCTGCAACTCATTGCTAAGCTACTGCGCCACCAGGCCGACGATAAAACTTCAATTTTGCTACTTAACCGAGGATAGATGTTTTTATAGCATTTTATACAATCTAGCACAGTCCACCTGATGGTAAGTTAATGCTGTGACCCATATATATCTACATCATTCTCGATTAAAAAGCAAAATGGAGATGCATTGTCACACTCCAGTAAAAAGGGTATCCGGATCTCTACACTCACCATCGAAACATAGTGGAATTCTGTGATAGCGTGGTCCATCCCCGGTCGAGCCGACCCATACGTGCTACAACCATAATACGAGTATAGCTGCAGCGTGGCTTTACCACGTAAGAAAGATGTAGTATATTCACTTACCATAGGTTGTATTTATTCCCGGCAGAAATATATTTTAGTCTATCAGTAAAGGATATGCTTATGCAGATTGTTATATTTATTCCAGATTTCTATGCGGTATCTCTGACTCTCTACTTGATTGGCAAATACAGCATCGCCGTGGTGATGACATCGGTGTACGTGTACACAGCTGAGCTCTACCCCACCAAGTATCGTCACAGTCTGTTCGCCTTCTCCTCAATGATGGGTAGGATCGGATCGATAGTTGCGCCACTAACGCCAGCGTTTGTAAGTAACTATCTATAGCTACAGGCACGTGTTGAACTGCTTGATCTGTCTTTTTTTTTGATAACCTCGTCAATTATTTGCCATTTAATAGGTTGCAACAGTAACGGTAACGAAAAAATGGACAATGACCTTTAAGCGTACTGTTGGGTTAAGCATAGTTTTTGCCATTTTCTTACTTTTCAATTTTGATATCTGTTTCATTTTAAGAAGAAGTAAAATTGTTTGTCAGAAAACATCAACAAAATTCGTTGGAACAGGTTTGTTATCTCTGAATGGTCGCTTCTCTCACTCACCCTGTACTACGTTATGCGGTAAGAAATTTATATAGAACGATACAAATTATCGTATTGCGTAGATGATAATATAATACTAAGTGCCTATGTCCGCTTTTCCGCCTTCCCTAAAAGGCTTTAGGAAAATACACACAACTGTCGGTAATACGATACTAGTTTCGTTCTTAACAATCTAGTTAAAGGTTTTAGAAGAAGGTAATACACACTGAAACAGAAACAGAAACTTTTTTATTCAATATAGATTATAAATAATACTTATTGAAAGTCACTCTTTTGTTTAATTACCACTGGTTCGAAAAAAAACCTCTGTCCTGGAAAGAACCAGCAAGAAACCCAACGGGACTTTTTCTTTAAATAACATCTTACCATCATGTATGTTACACAAATTAACAACACAACAAATTAAAAATAGCTTGGTAGCGATCCATAGATTCTTTAATATTATAATAACCCTTTTTATACAAACTTACTTTAATAAAGTTTTTGAACTTTGATCTGGTCAAATTTTGTATATTTTCTGGAATTTTGTTATAAAAGTGTATACATCGCCTCAAGAATGAATTACAGACTCGATGGAGGCAAGTAACTGGTACTACTAGCTTGTGTCTGTTCCTAGTATTTACAGAATGAATATCACTTATTTTTGTAAAACTACTTTTATTTTTGTATACGTACATTAGATTTTCATAAATGCATTGAGAGGCCAAAGTTAATATATTAATTTCCTTAAATTTTTGTCGCAGCGACTCTTTAGGCTTTAAATCATAAATTGCTCTTATGACCCTCTTCTGTAAAACAAATATAATTTCAGTGTCAGCTGCGTGTCCCCATAGCAAAATACTCGTACCATGCGACATTATGCTATGGAAATAGCTAAAGTAAACTAGTCTAGCTGTTTCAACACTGGTAAGACTTCTAATCTTTTTTACAGCATATGCTGCAGAACTAAGTCTGCTTGCTAGTTTTGATATATGGGGGTTCCATTGAAACTTCGCGTCTAGTGTGATTTCAAGGAAAATGGTGGTATCTACAAGACTCAGTCTCTTCCAATTTAAAATTGCATTAGTATTTAATTGTTTGACATTTGGAGACATGAATTTCATACATTTCGTTTTAGTGCCATTTAAACGCAAATTATTAATATTGAACCAATTTACTAATTTAGATAAAGCATTATTTATTCATATATTAGTAATTGTCGACTTAATTTGAAAATTAAAGAAGTGTCATCTGCAAATAATACTATATCATGGTTATCCCTACTATGTGAGGTAAGTCATTAATGTATACAATAAACAGAAAAGGGCCGAGAATTGAGCCTTGAGCCACGCCCATTTGTACCATCGAACCAGATTATATTATTTTACACTATATTATTTTGCCGAGTTCCGTGTAGTGGCGGTTAAGAATATCCACTACTCCATATCTTCCCGTGGGTGTCGTAAAAGGCGACAAAGGGAAACAGGCAGGAGATGGGCAGCAGCATCTTCCTGATATCAGCAAAAATTAGAATAAAAAACTGCGGTTGCCAACCCGCTCGCCAAGCGTGGCAACTATGGCAGTATACCCCCCATGAGCAATGACAATAATAAACGGCCCCCAGTCCGCGTCGGCCACGCTATTCCTGGCTACGGTGGCGACAATAGTAACGGCGGGGCAGGGGGTGCTAAGAATCTCCGGTGGGGGTTCGGTTGCCACCTAAGACGACTCGACCTGGCAACAAACAACCTGACAGCCTGAGGACTGACAAGAAGATCGTGGAGCTGGAAGAAGAGATAGGCAAGTTACGCTGGCATATTATAGGATTATCCGAAGTCCGAAGAGAGGGGGAGGACACGGTAATCCTCGAATCCGGGAACTTGCTCTATCACCGGGAGGGCGACCATCTGTCCCAAGGAGGTGTCGGATTTATCGTCCACAAGTCTCTCGTTAACAACGTTGTAAAGATTGAGAGTGTGTCGACGAGGGTTGCGTACCTTATACTCAGAATCACCAAACGGTATTCGCTGAAGGTCATACAGGTTTACGCACTAACCTCGGCACACCCCGACCTCTAGAGCCATACATTCCTCCAAAACTCACTATGCGGTGTTATTAGGAGACTTCAACGCAAAACTAGGCACAAGAGAGAACGGTGAGCTGAAATTAGGGAAATTCGGAATAGGGCAACGGAACCCAAGGGGCCAGCAGCTGGCCGACTTCATGGAGAAAGAGGGACTCTTTATGATGAACTCTTTCTTCCAGAAGTGGCCCCACAGGAAGTGGACCTGGTCGAGCCCCGACGGATCCACAATAAATGAGATTGACTTCATTATGACGACCAGACGACAACTGTTTAGTGATGTCTCCGTGATCGCGAGGGTGAAAACTGGTAGCGATCACCGAATGGTTAGAGGCACACTAAACCTAAACGTTAAGTTGGAGAGGTCTCGTCTAATGAAGTCAACGCTCCGTCCCCCTCGTGCTCTGTTCCAAAGTCCCGAAACCTTTCAGCTCGAGTTACAAAACCTTTTTCAGTGCCTAGAAGACTGCAATGAAGTGGACGATATGAATGACAAGCTCGTAAAAACTGTCCATGCGGTTGGAGCTAAGTTCTGCAATACACGCCGCAGAAGAACACAAAACTCTCCGATCATACTCTCAATCTCATGGCTGTTAGACGGTAGACTAAGCTACATTCTTCAACAGATTTGACTGCATACAGGCAACTGAACAGACAAATCTTCAAATACATGCGGCGGGACTTACGCAACTTCAATGCAGCTTGTATTGAAGAAGCGATCGAGCGAAACCAAGGCTCCAAAGTCTTTGCCAGAGATCTGTATGCCAGAAAGAGCCAACTGTCAAAGCTGAAGACCGAATGTGGCAGCATCGTTTCAGGGGCACCTGAGATTTTGAGTGTGATTGAGAGGTTCTATGGGCAGCTGTACACGTCATCGTTGGAGCCACCCGCAAGTGTGAGTAACGATCCAAGAGCGAGCCTTATCCGACACTATTCCGAAGATATCCCGGACGTCAGTCTGAGCGAGATTAGAATGGCTCTCCAGTACCTTAAAAATGGCAAGGCCCGAGGCGAAGATGGAATTACAGCGGAGCTTCTGAAAGTGGGTGGAAGACCGGTACTTGAAGTCCTTCAGAAGCTCTTTGATTCCGTCCTCCACGGTGGCGTTACACCTGAGGCGTGGAGCAGAAGTGCGGTGGTCTTGTTCTTCAAGAAAGGTGACAACGCTCTCTTGAAGAACTACAGACCGATTTCCCTTCTGAGCCGCGTCTACGTGCTGTTTTCGAGAGTCCTTACGAATCGTCTCGCGCGCAGACTTGACGACTTCCAGCCTCCCGAAAAAGCCGGTTTCCGAAAGGGCGTTAGCACCATAGACCACATCATACATACTCTTCGACAAATTGTACAGAAGTCCGAGGAGTACAATTTGCCACTATGTCTGGCGTATGTGGGCTATGAGAAAGCCTTTGATTTCGTTGAAATTTGGGCGGTGCTGCAGTCCCTTCGGCGGTGCCAAGTTAACTGTCGGCATATCGAAGTGCTGAAGTGTTTGTACAGTAGAGCTACGATGGCTATCCGAGTACAGAACCAGAGTACGAAACCTATCCAATTGCAGAGAGTTGTAAGACAGGGTGATGTTATATCCCCGAAACTCTTCACCGCTGCATTGGAAGATGTTTTCAAGCTTCTGGACTGGAAAGGATACGGTATTAACATCAATGACGAGTACATCACTCACCTTCGATTTGCCGACGATATAGTCATTATGGCAGAATCGCTGGAGGACCTAAGCACCATGCTTAATGACTTCAATAGTGTCTCCCAACGAATAGGTCTTAGGATGAACATGGACAAAACAACGATCATGTTTAATGTCAATGTCACACCTATGCCGGTAGTTGTTGGGAGCATTAAGCTCGAAGTTGTTGACGAGTATGTTTACCTGGGACAAATAGTCCGACTAGGTAAATCCAACTTCAACCGAGAGGTCAATCGACGGATTCAGTTCGACTGGGAAGCGTTCGGGAAACCACGACACATCTTCTCGTCAGACATACCTCAAAACCTTAAAATGAAATTGTACAACCAGTGCGTGTTGCCAGTGATGACTTACGGATCTGAGACGTGGTCCTTCACTGCTGGCCGTATAAGGAAGCTCAAGGTCGCTCAGCGAGCTATGGAAAGGACTATGCTTGGGGTTTCCCTGCGTGATTTTTTTTTTTATAGGAGAGGGGGCAAACGAGCATGCGGCTCACCTGATGGTAAGTGACTACCGCCGCCCATGAACAACCGCAACACCAGGGGAATTGCAGATGCGTTGCCGGCCTTTTAAAAAGGAGTAGGTTCTTTTCTTGAAGGTCCCTAAGTCGTATCGGTCCGGAAAAATCGCTGGTGGTAAACTATTCCACAAGGAAGTTGTGCGAGGAAGAAAACATCTTCTAAATCGCACAGTGGTGGACCGCCAATCATCCAGATGGTGTGGATGGTATCGGGAGTTCTGCCGCGATGTGCGTTCGTGAAATTTGGCGGCTGGGATTAATCCGAACAATTCCTCAGAGCACTCCCCATGGTAAATGCGAAAGAAAATGCTAAGAGATGCAACATCTCTTCGCAGTGCCAATGAGTCGAGCCGATCGGAAAGGACTCGGTCGTCGACGATTCGAGCCGCTCTGCGCTGGATGCGGTCAAGTGGAAGAAGCTGGCACTGGGGAGCCCCAGCCCAGAGATGGGAACAGTATTCCATGTGAGGCCGAACCTGCGCCTTGTAAAGTGCAGGCGTTGAGCCGGCATGAAATACTGTCCCGCTCTGCTGAGCACGCCAAGCTTTTTAGAGGCCAATTTGGCCTTTTCTTCCAAGTGACCACGAAACTGCACGCTACTCGATATGTCGACGCCAAGGATTCCGATACTGGCTGAGGCAACAAGGGGAGTACCTTGAAACTGAGGAGATACGACAAAGGGGTTCTTTTTAGCGGTAAACGCGCAAACTTGTGTCTTCTGAGGATTAAACTGGACTAGATTTAGTCGCCCCCAATCCGAGACTTTGTCCAGCAAAGACTCGACTTCAGACACAAGTTTGTTCCGGTACTCGGTGACGTTTTCCCGAGAAATATTGGCACGGCCGGTGTAGAGAGCATCACCAGTGCTGTCATCCGCATAGCAATGAATGCTACCGTTTTGCAACATATAATTGATATGCAGAAGAAACAGCGTTGGTGATAGCACGCAGCCTTGTGGAACACCAGCGTTAATAGGCTTGTAGTCGGAGCATGCACCGTCTACAACGACCTTGATGCTCCGATCTGCAAGAAAGCTGGTGATCCAATTGCATAATTTCTCGGGAAGCCCATAGGAAGGGAGCTTCGAAAGAAGCGCTTTGTGCCAAACCCGATCGAAGGCCTTCGCAATGTCCAAACTAACGGCCAATGCCTCCCCCTTGGACTCTACTGCCAACGCCCATCTATGAGTTAAGTAGACCAGAAGATCACCAGCTGATCGACCCCGACGAAAACCGTACTGGCGGTCACTAATCAGCTGGTGATCCTCAAGGTACCGCATGAGGTGGCAGTTTACAACGGATTCCATTATTTTGGAGAACAAGGGGGTAATGGCGATAGGCCTGTAGTTGGACGGGTCTGAGCGGTCGCCTTTTTTAGGGATCGGGTGGACAAAATCTGTCTTCCATGATTTCGGGACTACGCCTAGGGAGTAGGAGTACCGGAAAAGACGCGTTAGAACCGGTGCCAACTCCGGAGCACACGTCCTCAGCACAATTGGGGGGATTCCGTCAGGCCCACTCGACTTGTGGATGTCAAGGGAGAGGAGTGCTCTGCGAACCGAGCGCTGTGAGAACCGCACATCCGGCATGGAGCACTCACACCGCGGGATGGTCGGCGGTGTGTTCCTCCCGTCATCAACAGTCGAGTTGGACGCAAAAAGGGAGCCTAAAAGGTCGGCCTTCTCTTTTGCGTCGTGGGCCAGTGAGTCGTCCTCCCTGTGCAGAGATGGTAGTGATGGCTTACAGAAATTCCCATGAACAGCCTTGGCGAGAGACCAGAATGCACGGGTTCCCGAAGGAAGGCGTACTAGTTTCTCGCCAATTCTGCCTATGTGCTCTGACTTTGCCTTGGCAATAACTCTTTTGAAGGACCTGGAGGCGAAGTTATACTTCTTTTTGAGCGTGCTGGTGTTTACATCCCGAGTCACCGAAGCCGCAGCCCAGGCTTGATAACACTCCTGCTTACTGCGTAATGCAGTCTTACAGGAGCGACCAAACCAAGGCTGAGATCTGCCTCCGATGGGTACCACAGATGATGGAATAAATAGTTCCATTCCCTGTAGCACCACATCAGTGACAGAGTCAGCAACAGCGCTGGGATCGTCCGGCGAGAAGCAAACCCGCCCCCATGGGTAGGAAGCAAAGAAAGACCGCATTCCGTCCCAATCCGCCGACCTGTAATGCCAAACACGGCGGCAACCTGCAGAACGCAACCGCGAGGAGAGCGTGAGTGGCACCACACTCCGGATCAGACAATGGTCCGAAGAGCCAAGAGGGGCATCGACGGAAACCTGATATCCGTCCGGATGAGAGGTCAGCAGAAGGTCCAACAGGGAAGGTGTATGATCCTCAACATCTGGAATCCGCGTAGGCGATGTAACCAGTTGTGTCAGACCATATGCCAAGGCAAAGTCATAAACAGATCTCCCCGCATGATCGGTTAAACGTGAACCGAGCCATTCGGCGTGGTGGGCGTTAAAATCGCCAAGGATCACGATCTCTGCGGATGGGACCTGTTGTAGCAAGGAATCTGTAGCCATTTGGACGTGGTCGATGAGTCGGTCTGTTTCGGCATTACCGCTATGGGACCTATAGAGGCACACGTAGACGCGGATGGTCGTCGCTGTCTACGCGTAGCCAAAGGATGGACAGGTCCGAACCTTCAAGACTGCCGAGGCGTCGAGAACAGATGTCCTCTCTGACATACACGCAAACTCCAGCCCGAGGCACAAAGGAGTGCTCCAATTTGTACCCCGGGTAGGAGAGATACGAAGTATCAGCCGGAGAGGACACCTGCGTCTCGGTCAGAAAGAGCAAGGCCGGCTTCGCCGTCTCAAGATGGTAGTGGACGGCGTTTAGGTTCGAGTGAAGTCCCCTGATGTTGCAGAAATTTACGGATAGCGTGGCAGGGGTCGCCTTGGTCTTGTTGCTCAGTTTGCCCCGAGCAGTTATTGTGTTGAGCGGAATTTTGCCCCCCCCCCCCCCAGAATACGCGGGGCAGCCTGAGCACCCACGCTCAGGAGTGGAATAGCATGGTCGTGGATGCTCAGCGAGGGATTCTCCAGGGGTACTGGTACCCTCCTGGGGTAGTTTATGACGTAATTCCGCTACCATGTTGATGGGGGGGGGGGGGAATTGGGCCTCCGGTCACCTGCACTCACCAGAACAAACGCGGAAGCAGAGCTTCCACTTCACGCCGGTATTCTGTGAGGTCGTGGTACTAACCCGGCTCGAGCTGGCCCATACTTGCAACAGCAAAAGCTGCTGCAAGGCTCTACCACCGTTAAAACTTAGAAATGAGTATATCCGCAGTAGAACCAGAGTAACCGACATAGCACAACGGATTAGTAAGCTGAAGTGGCAGTTGGCCGGCCATATAGCTCGAACGAAGAACCGACAACCGATGGGGAACTAAGGTTCTTGAGTGGCAGCTTCGTACCGGTGGGCGAAGTGTAGGGCGTGACCTTGTAAGACATGCAGGAATGTGATGTGATGGATGCAGGTGGCTCAAGACCGTGCTTTGTGGCATTCCTTGGGGGAGGCCTATGTTCAGCAGTGGACTTATGAAAGGCTATAATGATGATGATGACGATGATATTACTTTTTACCGACTTCAAAAAGGAGACAGTACTAAATTCGACTGTATGTTTTTTTATGTGTGTTACCTGATATATTTTTTACTGGTTGAACCGATTTCGATGATTCTTTTTTTATTTGAAAGCTAGTGCTTCACATGTGGTCACATGTTAAATGTATCAAGGTCTGATCAATATTTTTTGAGTTACTCTTAATAATTTATATTGCTCTCTGTTGTACAAATTTTTTAATTTTAAACTATTGCTCTCGGATTGTCATCAACATACCGTATCATTTTTGTTAAAGTTAATTGCTTTGTTATATTGTATTTGTATATATACGAGTTTTTATGAAGTTTTGACCTACAAGATACCTAGTCAGGTCATAAGTATTGTCACACAGTAAAAACTTTTCTTTTAGAATGCTGGTAACAAAAAAGTTTATTGAATTCGAATCTCGATTTGTTCGTGAAAATAAAACTGTATACTTTTTAGAATTTTACTCATTTTTAATATGGAGTGGACGCTTAAAGAAGACCGTGTTGCAGTTATTGCGTTGCATCGTTGCGGTTACGCGCCAATTCAAATTTTGACATACTAAAAAATTTGAATATCACCAAAAGATTCGTTTATCGTCCCATCAAACGATACAATGAAGACTCTAGTGTAGATGACAGGTCAAGAAGTGGTCGCCCTCGGTCTGTTAGGACTCCAGCAGTGATAAAAGCTGTGAAGGCGCGAATTCAAAGAAATCCCAAACGTAAGCAGAAACTGTTGGCCCTTCAGATGGGGTTAAGCAGAACCACGGTGAAAAGGGTGTTAAATGAAGACTTAGGCCTTCGGGCATATCGAAGAAAAACAGGACATCGTTTGAATGCTCGTCTAATGGACCTGAGACTGAAGAGATGCCGCGCTTGTTGAAGCGGTACGCGGGAAAAAAATATCGGGAAATTCTTTTTTCGGATGAAAAAATTTTTACCGTAGAAGAGAGCTACAACAAACAAAATGATAAGATGTACGCACACAGTAGTGAAGAAGCGAGCAACCGTATTCCGCGTGTCCAACGAGGTCATTTTCCATCCTCGCTCATGGTATGGTTGGGAGTTTCTTATTGGGGCTTAACAGAGGTACATTTTTGTGAGAAAGGTGTAAAAACGAATCCAGTTGTGTTTCAAAATACAGTCCTGACGAACCTTGTGGAACCTGTTTCTCATGTCATGTTCAATAACAGGGCACTGGGTATTCCAACAAGATTCGGCGCCAACTCATAGAGCGAAGAGCACACAAGACTGGCTGGCGGCTCGTGAAATCGACTTCATCCGGCACGAAGACTGGCCCTCCTCCAGTCCAGATTTGAATCCGTTAGATTACAAGATATGGCAACACTTGGAGGAAAAGGCGTGCTCAAAGCCTCATCCCCATTTGGAGTCACTCAAGACATCCTTGATTAAGGCAGCCGCCGATATTGACATGGACCTCGTTCGTGCTGCGATAGACGACTGGCCGCGCAGATTGAAGGCTTGTATTCAAAATCACGGAGGTCATTTTGAATAAACTTTAGTGTCATAACAATCTATGTTTTGTTAAGTTCATTTTGGTATATAAATGGTTACATAATGAATAAACTTGTTTCAATTATTTTATATTAAACATGTGACAGAATTTATAACCTATGTATAATATGTGTTGTGTAATGATAAATAATAACATGACGTGATTTCAGGCTGCAGCAACCTGGGATGATCTGCCTTTTGCCCTCTTCGCCGGGTTTGCCCTATTATCTGGATTGCTGGTGCTCATCACTCCAGAGACCCTGGGCTCAAACCTACCTGACACTATGGAGGAAGCTGAACAGCTTGGCAGAAAAAATGAATCTACGTGATGTTGAAGTGATAGTTCTTTTAAGTAGTTTTAATGAAATTATATTATAATGGCGATAACGGATAACGATTTCGATTGGAGTTGAAGTGACAACTACTCAAGGAGTTTAGGTAGAAACTTGATCGCTGGGGGATTGGCGCTCCTGTAATATCGCTTAAATTATGGTCTGAAGTGGAAACGATGAAATAAGGTATCATGCATTTTGAGACATTCGTCATCGAGTCTCTACTTTCTGGCTTATCCTGCAGTCAATATCTCTAATCTATACAAATAAATAAAATTGAAGTGTCTGTTTGTAATGTCAAAATAACAGCCTTTTACCAAATGAATATGAAAGTAAATACGGTACTTATAACTAAAATACATTTTTTAAATTTTTTGTCTGTCTGTCTGTCTGTCCTTCTGTCTGTCTGTCTGTTTGTTCCGGCTAATCTCCGAAACGGCTGGACCGATTTTGACGGGAATTTCACTGGCAGATTGCTGATATCATAAGGAGTAACATAGGCTACTTTTATTTTAGAAAACGAATTAGGGTTCCGCGCAAAAAAAAAATAACCCTATCACGCGTGAATGACCTCAATAAAACGGCGCCCTTTTGATCATTCACGCATGGCGTGCGTTAGACTATCACTATAGCGAAAGACGACCATGTCCAGACTCATCCACTTCCCCATATCACCCCGTAGATGTCGCAAGAGGCGACAGAGGGAAACAAATCAGAACTACAAAAAACAAGACTAAAAATAAAAAAACTGCGGTTGCTAACCCCCTTGACAAGATTTTCAACTACGGCAAATATTTCCCCCATGAGGCAATTTATGGGGGAGGCCTATATTCAGCAGTGGACTTTAATAGGCTATAACAATGAATTGATACACAAATATATAATACTTTTATTGATATGAATGTATATATTCATATAATTGTAATTATTGTATAGACCATGTATATACATAATATATGGTGTATGTATACCCTATACACCACCCATTAACTTTCATCAAGTGGACTATGTGCTCGTTTGTCATCCTTATTCTATAAATTACAAAGTTACAAAACAAAAAGATGTAATTAATATGTCAGTAATTCAAGTTAGGAGAATAGCCATAAAACAGGACATTTTATCTTGAGATTGTTGAATAGGAACATAAATTTCTATTAATTTAAAATTACCAATGCTAATTTTCGTAATTTAAATGTATAAACTGGTCGCTTTAAGGTCGATTTAGACACACTTATCACGTCTGTTATATTATCAATCAAGACGACCTGTTGGTCGTCTTAATTGATAAGCAAAAATAAAATAAAAAATATAAACAAAAAGATAAAGAATTTATAACAACATAAATAAAGAGTTTATAACAATTGAATAAAACTATGTTTACGGATTTTATCGCGTTTAATTTACTTATTTTTAATTCCCTTACCTGGTTACCCCTACCTAACCCTTAGATGGTTAGCACTCGTGGTAAATTTCACTCAACAGCAACATGGGAGGCGAGAGGGGGGGGGGGGGGGGGGGGGGGGAGAAGTACACTTGGTCACTATAATCCTGTCCTATGCCGATGGTTAGTATCCGTTGAGGCTAGTCTCCGTGACCGAAATTCGGTCTGGAGGAGGGACAAAATCCTGTCCTGCGCAGATATCCAGTCTCCGTAGAGACTAACCGCCGTGACCGCAATATGAAATATTTCAAGGATATCAGACGTATACAGAGTGTAACAGTACTATTTTAACCGTAAGCAGGCACTGCTGAACATGGAATTTTAACATAGAATAGAATAATGATTCATTAAAAGTGGGACATTTTTTTTCAAAGTAAAATTATACAATAAAAACAAAAGTTGTAAATAATACTTATAAAACTTATTCAAGAAGAAGTGAAATTGGAAGTGACCATCTCAGTTTTTGTAAACATACATTAAATTTTCTTAAATATACTGAGAGCCCAAAGTAAATTTTACACAAAATTAAATGTATGAATAAATTTTATCGGAGAGACTCGGTTTAGGCTATAAATAATCTTAAATGACTCGGGGATAATTAACATAGTGGCCACGCTTGGCAGGCCGGTTGGCTCAAACTCAAAACGATAAAAGAACCTGCTGTGTTTTTACGGGATATTCTTACACCGCCACTTCACAATTATGCGTGATTAACTTAAGTTTAATTAACTTAAGGCAAATTATATATTAAGGTGTATCTATTCAAAAATGGGAGAGGCTAATTTCCAGCTGTGGACTTTTAGGGCCAATAATTAAGATGAAGATGATTCCCTTTAGCGTTGACTGATTAATTTATGTGGTACTTTTGAATACACGTGAAAACTGAGGCTTCTTTAAAACTATCTACTAATTAATAAATACGTTATTTGATAAATTCAATAAATTATAACATAAAATTCCTAGATTATAGACCGCGTGTAGCGTCCAAGAAGTAGTAATAAAATTAAAATTTTAACTGTTTGTTTATTGAACCAAAAATATTGTAGAGAGTTAAAATAATGGTGTAACGGTATTTAATAAATGTTAATAACGAGACAGAGTGTAAGAAAATATTTTAAATATTACTTATTTAGTGATTATTTTATTATTTTTACGTGGTAGAGCCATGCTGCAGCTATATTAATAGTATAGTTGTAGCACGAATGGGTCGACTCGACCGGGGAAGGATCACGCTCTCACAGAACACCAGTGTAAAATCGCAGCTTAATGCTGCTATGTTTCGTATGGTGAGTGTAGAGAACTGGAGACCCATTTTACTGGAAAAGAGGCATTCCATCTTAGTACTCACGGGTGACAACGCATCTGCATTTTGATTGGCAAACGAAGATAGGTGTAGATGTCTATGGGCCACAGCAACCACTTACCATCAGGTGGATTGCGTGCTCGTTTGTCACCCTTATTCTATAAAAAAAATCTGTTTTATTTACTGTTAAATGATACTAGTTTAAATGAATATCGATCACACTTACACAAATATGTTAATTGTTAAATACAACTAAGTATGAGAGAAGAAGAAATGAGAATATCCACAGTAGAACCCGAATAACTGACATAGCCCAACGATTTAGTAAGCTGAAGTGGCAATGGGCCACAAGCGATGGGGAAAAAAGGTTCTTAAGTGGCAGCCTCGTACCGGTTGGCGAAGTGTAGGGCGACCCCCACTAGATGGAGTGACGACCTGGTAAGACATGCAGGAAGTCGATGGATGCAGGTGGCTCTGGACCGTGCTTTGTGGCATTCCTTGGGGAAGGTTTATGTTCAGCAGTGGAATTGTGAAGGGCTATAATGATGATGATTAAAGGTTCACCAGGATAACATAAAATAATTATCAGCATCATCCCAACTTCTCAGATCAGTGCGTGTTGTTTAAGTTTTTTGAAGTGAAAATTCTTTGGTATAGTAGTGATTTGAAAACTCCATGAAAACGAAAAAGCAACACTGAAAAGAGACAAATATACACATCTATATGATTTATCCCGCGAGAGAATGAGATAGAATTTATACTAATATAATAAAGCGGAAGAGGTTTTCTGTATGTTTAAATAAGCTAATTTATGGAAATACCCGTCCGATTTGATTAAATCTTTTTGTATATGATATCCAGATCCAATTTTAGTCAAAATAAAATATTCTTTTGATTTAGTTAATACACTAAAATTATAAACTTTACATATCTAGAAATTTGAATTTTAATATTTTTTGATATAAAATTAATCTTTTATTTTTAAATTATCAATTTAAATAAATGGGAAGCCAGCCAACGTGGTAGAGCCATGCTGCAGCTATATTTCTGGTATAATTGTAACACGAATGGGTCGGCTCGACCGGGCAAGGACCACGCTCTCACAGAATACCAGCGTAAAATAGCAGCTTAATGCTGCTGTGTTTCGTATGGTGAGTGTAGAGATCCGAAGACCCTTTTTACTGGAAAAGAGGCATTCCATCTTAGTCCTCACGAGTGACAACGCATCCGTCTCTGATACGTAATCGAGGATAAATGTAGATGTCTATGGGCCACAGCAACCACTTACCATCAGGTGGACTGTATGCTCGTTTGTCACCCTTATCGCATAAAAAAATCATTTGCAGTGAAATATTTTTGTTTTATATTTCATTTTATATGTAGGTTTTATTTCTACCGCGTGTGAACTGCACACATGCTTTATTTTGAACGCTTATACTATTTAATATTTTCACAACGCTTTATGTGAATACTACGAGTATACCCGATTGTAGCCATAACAAAGTTGTGTCATGGCTTTATTACAAGTATATTAAATAAAATTAAAAATAGAAATGTTTAATGAATATGAAGAAAAATATGAAACGAAACTATTATAATTACCTTTTTATATATAAAAGAGAAGTAAATGAATTTACTGTCCACCTGGAGGACATTGCAGCTCATGAACAAACGCAATCAAATTAAAAACAAGATATTGTATAGAATCAGTCTTTGGTCCAGATCCCATGGTTTACTATAAATCCAAGTAAGTCTCAAGCGTTAATAGTAAGTAACAGATATAATAGTAGTATTATTAATAAATGCACCCTGCCAAATGTGATTATCAATGGCACATCAATTGTTTATTCGGAATCTGCGAAGAACTTGGGCCTAATTATTGACAATAGGTTATTATGGGGTACTCATATAACGGACTTAAGCAGAAAAGTTCATTATGCTTTTCACTCGTTAAATGAATTTAAAGTTTTTTACCCTTATCGACTAAAATCTCTCTTGTTCAAACTCTTATTTAGCCAATCTTTTTTTTAAGATGGGGAAATGCCTACGCATTCCCGCCTCGGGGGGCAAGGACGGGTTATGTCGGACTCGCACCGACTAAAACCCCATGGTATTCCACCTTCGCTGCGTATTGGCAGGGCCACGGGAAAGCTTTCGCACACATCCGTGGCCCCACCAGCGCCGACCGCCCCATGACAGCCCCTTCTCGGGGGAGGACCTCTCCTCCCCATTCGCCTTCTCAGGCAAAGCACA